TGCTTAATGATTTTGTCGACCTACATGTAGCTAATGAGCATTACCTCCATTGGGACCCACGTTGAATGCAAGCAGCTTTTTAATTTTTTTAAATTTCAATTTCTTTATTTTTATTTATTTATCTATGTTTTTTTGGTGTCGAATCTTTCGTTGTTTGATTTTTTCCCACTGGTGATGCCGTTAAAACTGATTGTCTTTCAAAACTTCCGTATCAAAATAACCTTTTTTTTTTTTTTTTGCAAAGAACAACGGTTTGACACTTTCGTGGGGATTACATAAAGTCTAACTATCTAAACTTCATATAAATGGAAACATCAAGGGATCAAAAATGCATTAGGTTCAATGGGCCTCAATAAACCTTTTTAATTTAACGGCGTTTTTTTTTTTTTTTTAAACGGGAACTAGAATTAGAACTCTTGACCAGATCCCACTAGTGGATGTTCAGAATGGATCAATTATTGTCCCAAAACGTAGCTTGATAAATAAAGTAGTAGACGGGGATAATTTTTTCTGTTTCATGTAAAGCACATGCACAGAGACGTAGAAATTGTCTGGTTTTACTTATTATGGAGGATGCGTGCTTGTGTAACTCCTGTAACTCCGTACCCTCTACCAGGGTGGCAGATTATATAGGGACAAACGAAAATATACAGACCAAAATGAATGTCTTTTTATCTAGAGACATATCTGTGAATATCTGTGAAAAATCAATCTGTCGCCCTGATAGAGGGTAGTAGGATATAGTATTGAAATTGCTTAATGGACGCACGCGGGTGATTGGAAGCATTCTTTGGGTGTGACCAAGGTACGTTAAACTTATTTTAGGTCTAACGAACCACACGCATATTTGTTGCTTGCTGGGTCCATTTATGAAGCTTACATAACTAGATTTTATGTGATCCATAAAAGATTTATCTGAATAATTTTCTATTTCGAAAAAGTGGCCGGAGCGCTGTGGCTTAAATAACGTCTAGGTCACAGTGACCTAGTGTCAAACGTACTTAGGGACCGTTCCAAAAATAACTATTTCGAAGAATGATCCAACGGATAAAAATCATTTACAGATAAAAAGGCCTTATAATTAATTTCAACGTGCTCGTTTAAAACTCATCAGCTTATCTGCATTCTATAGTACTCAACTCCAGGAAGAGTACTCGAGTATCCGTTAATCTGATTGCACTAAACGAGTGTCCAGGTGGAGTTGGATCGTTAAACGTTAGAGTTTCCTTGGGAAAATGCACGGAAATATTGATTATACAAACCATTGCATGGTCACTTCCATGTGTTTAATTGCGAGGAAAAGTCACATTGAAATGGGCAATGCAATTTCAGAATGCATTAAATTTTTTACTTTAACCCTAATCATACCAGCATATTTTGCAACACATTTCTACTGGTTGGGGTCATGTCATGGCATTAATTATCAAATAACAATTTTTTGGGGGGCAATAAGAAAACAGAATAGTTGTTTAATCTGTAAATATAGGCCTCCGGCCTTGTATTACAATTGTTATAACATTACATTTTGTTTCGCTTAGAAGTAATAATAATAAAAGAAATAATACTGGAGTGCATGATTACATTTAACTATAGTGCAATAAAATTTACATTTCATACCTCTATGTCTACAGTAGTAGTAAGCTCTAGTTTTTCTGCATTTATCAAAAATAAAGAAAACAGATGCTTTTTGGTAAATCAAACGTTAACATTATGATACATACAACACATATTGCTGAAGAGTTAAAATACTATATTCTTTACTGATCTATAATAATAATAATAATTTATTTGCTAGAATCGCAACCCAAAGGTTGAAGTTTTACAATTTTTCATAAATAAAATCATACGGGTATTTAAAAGTAACTAAAAATTATAAACTAAAAAACCAAATCTTTAAAACAAGACTTATAAGACAATTTGGAGGAGTATTTTACATGAAGTTTAAAAGACTGTGCATTATAAAGGATGATTTAAAACGCTCCGTTTTCACTCTTGGTATTAAAAAATTGTTGCTGACCCTGAGATTTCTTGGATTCTTTTCTTTAAACAGATGGTCTAACTTATTAAAATTCTTGATTTTTTAAAAATAGTTCTTAAATAAAACGATAGTTTTAGAACATGAATTAGCTTTAGTAAATTATACATGTATATCCTTTTTTTTTCAAAATAAAAAGTCTCTGTTTCCAATTCTTGTTCTGATGGTATAAAACTACCTTGCCATTGATGTAAAATTTAATTCCTTAAGATGCCGAAATCATATCAAAACACGTGTTCATCTTAAACTGGACAAAGTGTTACAAAGGCCACATGTTTTTTCTCTTCCTCTCAATATTCACATATACATATGCATCTGGCCAGTTCTGTGAACCTTTATCTTGTGTCCTGAGTGAAAATTATAATTATGAATATATAACCCACTAATGTGTGCGTGTGTGTATGTGTGTGTGTGTTTTTTTCATATTTTAATCTAATAACTAATGAAATTTGCAGAATAAACCGTCTACAATTAGCGGAACTCAAACGATACCAAAGCTACGAAAATATCCCCTAAAAGAGGATAAAAAAGGTGAAAAATACATGAAATTGCATGGAAAAATAATGTATAAAAATACGCTAACAGAGAGAAATAATGAACGAAACTTGGAAATAATATCAAAAATGTTTCAATGGCGAAGTTTTCTCTTCATGTAAAATATTAGCCTGAAATGCGGCAATACTAAAACCTTCAATCGTGCCTTGAATTAAAATGACACAATTCCTCTCTGATTTTTTAGGCTTGCTGACCCTTTTTAGGGCTGGTATTTTTATGTACCTTTTAAGATATAGTTGACAGCAACACCGCTGTGAACTGTATTAATATTTTCATGTTACCGGCTAAGGTCTGTTCCAGTTTGAGAATGGTAGGCCTAATTTTAATTTTAAAATATTAAAATATTTCCTTCACTCTCAATATCGGCGTCAGCCGCTAGCTACATTGCTTAAAAGCCAGTTATATATCAGCAAAACATAGATCATTACAATCTTGAACATAATAACGAAGTCAACAGATAAGGAAGACAAACGCCAGAACCGGTTTTATGAGATTAACGGAAAAAAGATGCCGAAAAGCCCGAAATAAATTCCCACTTGCTGAAGCAAGAGGGACCGCAAGTTTTCAATCGCGTTATTAGTGCAAAAGAACAAAAAGAAATTCAGTGAGGCACATCGCGCGTGACCTTGATTATATAACCTGTTCAGGCTCCCGTGGAACTATCGTAACGGCTCATCTGAGACAATGGGCGAATGTTTACTCGAACACAGATGTCTTCAAAGGAAGACGCCCCGTTTCAGGTCCCTTCGTAATTTTGTGCAAGGCATGGAGTGCATAATTGCGCAACACAGTGAGCATGAGTCGTAATTTTAAAATTGCCCAGTAGACCTTGTTAGGTGGCTGGGTACATTCTTTGTACGCGACAGAGGTACGTATACGCTATTAAGGCTACTGAGGCCCCTTGCGCCCCGAGCATTTTTTTGATCATTATACCTTGTTTCCATAAATGAGTTTACCCAACGAGATTTTATGTAATCATGCACGCGTCAAACAGTGGTTCTTTGCTAAGAAGTACCGGGGTATGTATAAATTAGGTTTTGATAATAATAATAATAATGCAACTAATAAAGATAATGATGGAGAAAATCGGTCAGGTGTCTGGGCGTGTAAATGTAATCACCCGAGCTGGCAAAGGTCATGCTGACGTACCCCTACCAAGGCCGCAGATTGGTTGTTCATCAGATAGAGACCATTCCCAGAGAATTCTAGGAATGGGAACCCAGTCATGCACAGTCACAGATAATTAAGTCTCTAGTGAACTCATGGCACATTTCTTGCGTGGGGGAAAGTGCCCTTGTAAGGGGAATATATAATTTTATTTTACTTGTGTACAGTGGCGGATTAAGGGGGGGGGGGCGGGTGGCAGGGGGGCCTCGAACCCAACCCC